TTCTGGAAAACCTCTAGAGATTTCTAATTCAACAGCTATTTCAAGACAACCAAACCAGACAAGTAATTAAAATAAAGTTGACTTTGTTTTCCTAGAGTATCTCAAAGTGCATCAGTGAGACAGAAACTGTCTGCTCTGTGTATTGCACTGAAGAGATTATCCAAGATTAGCAATGTACTTTTCTGCCCTACCTAGTTGTCATAAGAGAAAATATTAACAGCCCACAGCAGGAAATAGAATCAATCTTAAAAATGATCCTATGATCAATCTTTAAGAAATTAGTAACTTACAATTTTTTCTGCTTCCACAGCAACAAGGAAATTTTATTAAACTAAAACTCCAGTAAGCGTTTCACAGTCTGCCACAGAAGAGCACTCATGTCTTGTACAGGAGAACATGACAGAGAGAAACAGAAGGTGAGCCCAGTGACTCAGAACAGTATAGATCAACAGGATCAGAAACGCTAATCTCAAAACCTGTGCTGAGTAGATGGGGAAACCACTACAGATAAATCAGATTTATGCTTTGGTCTGCAAACATTACAGATAAAATAGTGGATGCTTTCCCTTTGGAGTCAATTGGCTCAGATCTGATTTTAAGAACTCAAAAACCCCACATTTCTTTCTCAAATGACTATTGATACATGCATAATATTACATAAGCTCCTTTTGTGGAGCCACTTGAAACACGAAATTACTTTTGACTCACTTGTCTTAGGTAAATTCACAGTCAAGTGCCTCTTCTGAAAAAAAACTAAGAAAAAATTAAAGGCACAGGATATCAATGTATGTGTAGCAGATGAAAGCTAGAAAATTTGCAGAAGGGTGGAAGAGTGGTCTCATTCCCTTTCATATAGAGTGTTCTAGTAGGAAATGTACTATCACTACATTTAAGATCAGGCACCTTAACCAGTAACTCGAGAAAAAGAAAGGAAAAAAACCCAAACAGTACACATAGACTTAAAATCAGAACACTCATATCAGTACTAAGACAGGCTTCAAAAGGGTCACAACAATTCTCAGTTGCACAAGATGCTCCATCTGTGGGGTCACAAGACAGGTTTCAACAAATCCTTATCTGGCAAAAATTCACTGTTGTACCAAATGCAGGATGGTCACTCAGACAAGTTTAAAATAAATCTTAGTTGTTTATAACTCCTACAATGCAAGAAATGTTAGGTGACCTGCGATTAACCTCTTGTCACTATAACATAAAGATCCTTGAATTAAAATTTATCTTAGAGAATTAAGATAAATTTGAGTGACATTTTTCTTTTTTAAAACAGCATTAGTATCTTTTAAAGTCATGTTTTAAGATCATAGGTCTTTTGCCATACCTCTGATTGCAGTGCATAGTACAGAGAAACATTTTACCAGAATGTATAAGTAAAGTCTTAGAGAAGTATTTTAATCCATATATCTGTTCATTGGGTACTTCTACCAAATCCCTCTTGGCAGAAACAGCACCAAAGGGATTTTCCCATTTTTCTCTCACCCACTGTGGGGAAAATTCATCAAACAGATCCATGTTAATTAGATTTAAAAGAGTCTGAGAAAATATTACTATTATTAATACCAGTACAGGAAAAAAATATCCAAATGAGCCAGGTGTCTGAATACTCTCCACTAAATGAAAAAATAAGTCAATAAATGAATAAATAAACTAAAGGCAAACCTACACACATTGGTCCATTCTCCCTATCTCAAAAACAGAAATTAAGTCTCTTGTAAGATCAAGGCACCCAAATTATCATTTTTTAAAACTACAGGCTAACAAGGTCAACATTTTTCTCAAGCTGACGTACAATCTTTTCTTCTATTGTAAAACTGAAACAAAAAAAAGCAAAGCATTGTCCACACATTCTGTCAGAAATACTGACTTAAGTAATTGGCATTTAAAAGATTACAAATTGGAGCTAAAAATTCACTATTGCCATCACAGTGAAAACATAAGTGACTTGAGGTCAACTGAAGCAAGAACTTACATTTATTTCACTACTTTGAAATTATTGCAGACATTTGGTAACATAACGTGAAAGATTACTGCAATGCAGTTTTTGACGGATAGTATTTCCTGTTGAGACAGAACAGAAAGAACTGTAGAGCTTCGAGATTGTAATCATTTAGTACATTTCTACGCACCAAGTACTTCTTTAAGCAAAATATTTCACCCCTGCAGCTGCTATCTCTTACATGTACTGTCATCCTTCATCCTCCCACAACTGGAAAGGAAGGAAAAAATGACAAGGCAAAGTTTTCAATCTGAAGACATGAAGTTTCATAAAATATAGCAGGAATAGATAAAAGAATTTCATGTGCATTATGAGTTTGTGCAATTGTATCAATAACAATATTGCAAGTTGCTTCCTTTCTCAATTTGGCATTAAAGGCATGCAGGTATTTGCAAAAACGTGTTATAAAAAAAACAAGTAAGAATTTATACGAGCTTTTTCTAACAGATGTCTCCCAACAGGGGTCAATACCAGGTTGTTCTTTCCCAGCCCAGATTTGCAATCTGTTCTTATCTGATTTAGTATGTTATTGTTCTGCTGTTCAAAAGAATTATATATATTTTAAACACTAAGAAACAAGATTGGTTAAGACAAAGCCTTTGTATGAATCTCTGAAGCTGTGGTGGCTTTGATCCAAGTTTATCTGCACAGACTTCAGCTGAAAGATAGAAGTTTGAGTAAAGTAAAACTGATTCCAAGGCACAACTTATAAATGCTCTCCAAGATGGGGTGGATATGTCTAAGAGAATGAGACAAAATTTACAAGGAAAAAAGGGACGTAAGAACTCTCATATACATGGCAGGCTTTGAGGGGTTTCTTTGTGGAAAGAAGTGTCTGAGGTTTTATTAAAAATAATAATCTAACAGAGGGAGCACCAGACAACACTGGAAGGTGATTTTAAGAACCGACAGTAGGTAAGCATGAGAAAGACTTTTAATAAAATCCTTCATCCTGGCAGAAAACTAACCAGAACAAAATCAAGGCCAACTTTTGTCACCATAAGTTAAATCTTATGAATTTTCTCAAGTTAAAATAGAGAGAGATATTCTAGATAGATGAAGATATAAGCAGTCTTTACATTCGCACACAGGGAGTCTGTTCTACAGCTGTACCAAGTATGCTTCATAAGAAGAAACTCTCCCATGTTCCCCTTTCACCAGTACATTACAACACTTGTACAGTCTTGGAAGTACCTCCAAAAACAGGAACACCAACCTAATTTTGAACAGTGAAAACAACAGACAGACAAAATTTTGAAAATTTAGTGAATTAAATTAATTCACTAAACAAGAAAGTAGAATTTAGGTGCTTCTTGTGTGTGGCACTGTCTGAGCAGGTGTTTCTGGTGCTCATGTAGCACTTAGGAAAGTCAGGTCCCCAAAACACTACAGTCTGAAGGAAGAAACAAGTAATTAACAAGCAAACAGAATTCTTGTCCTTGTATTTTGAATTTGCTTTTTCATAATTCTGAGCAGACTTGTAACTTGTCAGACATAACCACCAGATTCAAAAGGCTCCTTCGTATCTAATGCTTCCTTAGTCAAATCTGTTCAGCCCATTGAACTCATATTTTTTGATGTTTTTTTGTATCTCACTTTTTACATGCTGGGACCTCTCCACTATGAGGTGTGCCATAAAACGTATTTAAATATCTAACGCACTCATTTGTATTTATGGGGTTTATCCATTTGCAGTGGCGCAGCTTTTGGTCAGTGACTGCTGTCAACTCTGCTCATTTCAGGATCACAGCAGAGCACCGTGTCTCGCCTAACGCCAATCATGCATCCCCCAAGCACTGTGCGACCGCCAACTTCAACTTTGGGTCCATATTTGTTTTTAAACTAAGAGGAACAAGAGTGTAAACAATGACTTCATATCACAGAATCAATTAGGTTGGAAAAGACCTCTGAGATCTTCCAGACCAACCTATGACTGAACACCACCACGTCAACCAGATCATGGCACAAAGTGCCACGTCCAGTCTTTCCTTAACACCTCCTGGGACAGCGATTTCACCAACTCCCTGGGCAGTACATTCCAATGTCTGATCGCTCTTTCTGTGAAGAAATTCCTCCGAACTAACATCCAATCTATAACTCCCCTGGCGTTCTCTCATCCTGTCACTCGTTGCCTGGGAGACCAACCCCCACCTGGCTACACCCTCCTTCCAGGCAGTTGTAGAGAGTGCAAAGGTCACGCCTGAGCCTCCTCTTTGCCAGGCTAAACAACCTCAGCTCCCTCAGCCGCTTCTCATAGGGCCTGTGCTCCAAATCCTTCCCCAGCTCCATTGCCCTTCTCTGGACTTGCTCCAACATCTCAATGTCCTTCCTATAGTGAGGGGCCCAGAACTGGACACAGCACTCGAGGAGGCCTCACCAGTGCCGAGTACAGGGGGACAATCACTGCCCTGGTCCTGCTGGCCACACTATTCCTGATCCAGGCCGGGATGCCCTTGGCCTTCTTAGCCACCCGGGCACACTGCTGGCTCATTTTCAGCAGGCTGTCGACCAGCACCCCCAGGTTCTTGTCCGCTGTGTCACGCGATGGCATGTCCGTGCTCCTAAAGGACGACCTTGCTAGTGTCAGTCACCCCTCCGGCGAAGGGCGGACAGTGGGTTCAGCGAGGTGGGCCGGGCTGGGGGGCCCCAGCGCACGTCCCCGGGCAGGGCTGGCCCGGCACCAGGCGGGGCTGCGGCCCGGCGGCCGAGGGCCCCATTTCGGAGGCGGGGGGCACCACACGCTGCACGGCTTTAAAGAGAGGCCTCGGCAAGAGAAGGAGACGGGGCTGAGCCCCGCCGAGGCGCCGGCGATGGTGGCCGGCGTGCCCTCTGCGAGAGAGCACCGAAGCCGCGGCCCCCGGGTGAACGCTGCAGCCCGGCGGACGGGCGCCGGGGGAGCGCTTCCCGAGTGGGGATTCCCTGAGAGAAGGAGGAGGAGGAGGAGGAGATGAAGAAGGAGGAGGCGGCGGTGGGCAGAGCAAACACGCACCTTCCCCACGCAGATCGGGCGGCGGCGCGGCACAGCCCTGGCTCCCGGCCGGCGGCGGACGGTGGAGGAGGAGCCGCCGCGGGGCTGGGCGGGGGGAGCCCGGCCCAGGCGGTGCCCGCGGTGCCCGCCCGTGGCGCCTCGCAGCCCGCCCCGAGGCCGGCGGGCTGGCTCGGGAAATGCCTCCAGACCCCGGAGGCCTGAAAACTCTCATCCATCGTCACCAGCCCTTGCAGGGGAGTGAGAGCACTCCCCTCAGAGGCACTGGAAGGGGTAGATGCCCCATCCCTGGTAGTGTTTAAAGCCAGGTTCAATGGGGCTCTGAGCAAGGTCGTCTAGTGGAAGATGTCCCAGCCTATGGCAGGGGGGTTTGGAACGAAATGGTCTTTAAGGTCCCTTCCAACCCAAACCATTCTATGATGACCACTATGATTGCGGTTTTACAGAGTAGGTGTGATAGTGGTGCAAGGGCACACGGACAATGGATGAAGCATGCGAAGCCTTTCCTGCTGGCAGCGTCCTTCTCCTCGGTACTTCAGAGCATGGCTATTCTTGTGTAGTTCATTGATGGTTTCCAGCTATCTGAGAGCCTTTGCTGCCTTCATGCTGTTTGGAACCGAGGTAGGGCCACCACTCCTTAGATGGTGGCCGCCTGCACAAGTAACATTGCACTCACTTAAATCAAGGTGTGTTTATAAAAACACTTAGGTAAATGAGTGCAACTTCTTCTGTAGATAAGATCTTAAATTACAAACATGGGTCTTAATCTACAAACACTTGAATTAAAGCTCTCGTTTGATTCTGTTAAAGTCAATGGGACTACCCAGGTGCTTAGAGGTAAGTGTTTTTAGGATCAAAGCCCTTGGTGCATTTCCAAAAAGCTGCTGTAGCAAGATGACAGTGAAAAATTTCCCTCTAATATTCAACACAGTATTCCAATATTCATGAACTTTCTGCCTCAGTGAAATGACTGTTATACTAATGAGCTTCATGGGTGTGTACCTTGAGGAGGGATTTGAAACATTTTATTATAAGATAATGGCTGTTCAAGCCAACCTGACTCCTCCACCCGTTTATTTGAGGTGACTCATTTGTATTTTTTCACTTGTATTTTTCAGTGCAGAATCATAATGGTACATTTTTGCAGATGGGACTGTGTCCTCTACAATACTGATCAGGGAGCATGCTGGTGGGATGCAACAATATGTTTCTCCAAGTGCCACAGTCCTTGAGAGTCCTGTTCCATTGAGGGTAACAAAATAAATGATTCAATAAAAATGTTACACAAGTAAAAGTCTGTCATAGATCTGCCTGTCTAGCTGCCTCTTTCCTGCACATTCTATATATTCTTTACTATAAGCTGTAAGCATTCATCTAGGACTGTATCCCTGGAAGGAGATACACACAGTGATTAAGTAGTGAAAGTCATGCAAGAAAATATTCTATCCTCAAAGGTTGGCTGTTGCACTCACAACACCTTGAACTTAAATATCAAAATACGGCCTTCCTTTTTACTTCCAGTGAGAGAGAACATTGGACAGGTCTGCATGAACGAGCTCATGTAAAACGGTACTGGCAGTATTTGAATTTAGGATTTTGGTTGATTCCTGGGAGTGCTTTCATTTGCTCCCTTTATAATTAAATCACTTCCCTCACCTGGTTTCCCATTAGTTTTTCCCTTTGTTAATCCTTCCACAGCCAAGAAGTCAAAAGGATGAGTGATAATAGGCCATCTTTTTTCTCCTCCATCGAATAGTCAGAAGGATGGAAATATCTTGGTGTCGCTGTCATTAATCACAGGTCAGAGGCTAGAGAGTACTCTGTTCTTGTCTCCTGTTGTCCTTGCCAGAGAAGCAATAAGAGCAAATAAAGAAGCATAACAACAAACCTAGAGCTCCACCCCTCAAGCCTCTTCAGCCAGCAGCACACATACATCTGTTTACAGGTTTGAAATACATCAATACCCACTTAGCCTTGGGAAAGGTATTTCCCTTACACCCATCTCTTACATGCTTTCCTCCTATTTTGCATTGTTCACTAAATACTTCATTTTATTTTCCTTTAGTTTGCAGCTTCAGGACTTTTGGATTGCTTGCTTTTTCCTCCTCAGGACTGTAATTGTAAATCAGGGAGAGGCTGGAGCTGAGGAGACCTGTGCTCAGTTTCCCAAACTTCATAAGATACTATGAGGGGCAAAATCCTAGCCCTACCATCCAGAAATTGCTGGTATCATCCATCTTGCATGCTCCTGAACTCATAAAGACTGTCAGGTGCTTGAAGGTCCCTGTATGGATGCATCTTTACAAGATTGCTGTGATTATACTGCTAGTAACAGTCTCAGAGTCAAGAACATAATATTCAAGAAAGGGATTGGATATATATGAATGTCAAAAATAATCGAAATTATCTGATTGTAGTTTGGTGCTTCAAGGAATAAGCTGGTATCTAACTCATGGAAAGGGGAATAGAACCTAAAGTGAGGATAGATGACATTTCTTACTACTGGGGTTTTTTTCACTTTCTATTATGTAGCATATGAAGCAACTGGTGAAGTGTGCTGCTAGGCATAGGATAGTGCCTGAATGCATCTTGAATCTCTTCTGATAGGACAGTTGCTTGGTACCATGCTCCTTCCTGCACAGGATGGGGGTGATGGATGATGCTATTTCGCTGTGCTTTGTTTTTCCACTCTGTTTAGACTGCATGGTTTTTGGACCAAGAAATGCTTTGGTGGAGCTCCAAACTTTGTTGAAGTCTCTGAAATGTGACTTCATTAAAAAAATAATAATAAATCACAAGCATATTCACATACTAATTACTATGCAAAGTGGGGAGGGGGAGGGAAGAAAGTACGAGATTCCTTTGAAAAGCTGCCAGCACAGGTCCAAATACCAGAGGTGTTTGAAGTGGGAGCACACTGTACCTGACTGAAGGAATTACCAATATACCAGTTACCCTTGTTTAGAAGTATGCTCTCAGTTTTCATTTTATGACATTTATTTACTTTGGCAAAGCACTTTTTATTTTTTCTCAGTCTCCCAAAAGCCTCCTCTAGGTCCACATTGGATTTTAGTACCACTAGAAGATGTTTTCTTCATTTAAAGTTTTTCTTTGTTGCTTTGCACTGTAGGCAGGTAAATATGGATTGCTAATTAATGCAAACTTTAGCTCTTATTTCCTCTTATTTTCCAGTTAAAAGAGCTGAAAACAAATAGTCCGAAGTTTCAAAGAATCAATGCTTTTCAGTTCCTTCTGGGAAGAAGCATTTAAGCTTGACCCTGACTTAAATGTCTCCATTGAGGCAGCCTAGCAGCAAATAAATATATCCTAACAGTGAAAAGAATGGGGAAAAAATAGGGACATTGTGAAAGAAAAATAACAAGCAATTCAAAGCAAGTATTTTTTACACAGTTCTGTTTGCTTTTCTGCTGCTGTGTCAGAGACTCATTTTTTTTCAGGTATCACGAGCAAATCATCAGCTGAGAGCAGAACATCTGCCAGCAGTGGGTTGGTAGGGTGTACTTGCTTGAGACGTGTCTTAACTTGGGCATGTCCAGTGCAATGCGGGTTTACTATCAGAACTCAGCATTAGTTGCCTCAAGTTTCCATGCATTCTGATACTAAGCTGATGCAAGCCAACAAACTGAATCCTCTCCTGCCAAAGGGAAATCTCCTCTCTGAACAACACCCACCAACATACAGCCGGTAGCAAAATGCCACTGTACACATGCTCCAAGAGCCCGGCGATGTCGGCAACTGTGAGCCCTGCGCCCCTGCCCTGTGTGCAGCAGCCCTTCTGCTGTTACAGCCTCTTGCAGCAAGGGCATGCAGCATCTCAAGAAAGCAGTGATGAACACACATGCTCCAGGGACATAAAAATGCCAGCAACTCACGTTCCCACAAAAGTTCTGGCAGCAAAACTTGCTAGTAAAAGACATAGTCTGGCAGGGTAATTTCTCCTGCAGACTACTACTACAAATTTTCTGACAGGGGCAATGGCCTGGGTTTTTGTGAGAATTGGTGGAACATGTTTCCACTTGAACCTCTTTTATGACCTGTGTGACTTGTGCAGCCATGGGCAGAGAACAGAGCATGGGCACCTGATGTAAAACCAGAGGTGCAAGGAGCCCTCTCTGTGCATTCTTCTGGATCTCCAGTAGGTAGCAATTGGTCCAGCAATATAGACAGGTCTGCCTCCACTCCTGTGTTTACAAAGCAAGGGTATTTGAATGTTTGACATCAATTATCATATATTTGCATTAAAAGTACATTAAATACCGCTCTAAATAGCTTTTCTTATAATGAAGTAATTAAATTATAAATAGTTTCTCTCAGCAACTCTCTCCACGAGAGCTTGGTACCTGTGTTCTTCTCAATATTTTTGTGAGGATGAAATCCAGGTTTAACTTACTCAAAATCCAAATTCAATTTATTCAACCCATATTTGTCCCAAACAAGTTTAAATCCATGGATACTTTTAAAAATGCTGATAAAATACATCTTTTATTTCTGGATATAGGGTAAAGGGAATCCTCTATCCTGCTGCGTACCAATACAGCCCTTTTTTTACTAACACATCTACTGTAATGGTGACTTCCAGGTTCAAAGGACATCCACTGCACCCCATTAACCTGCATGAAAACACAGTTACTCCCTGGCCCAAACTGGGCTGAGTTGAACTGTATTGAACAGTCCCCCATCCCCATCCCTGGAAGTGTTCAAGGCCAGATTGAATGAGACTTTGAGCAACCTGGTTTATTGAAAGGTGTCCCCTGCACAGAAGGGAGAGTGGAACTGGATGATCTTTAAGGTCACTTCCAACCCAAAACACCCTATGATTCTATAATTCTATGAACACATTACAGACAGTGTTCATACAGGATGAGACAATAAAATCTCCATCTAACAGAGGCAGGTGGGAGGCTGAGCAGGAGTGGGACTTCTCTAGATAACAATATTTCAGCCAGTCAGTTTATGGGGAAGGGGAGTGTTCTTGGAGTGGCAGATACCAGACAGATGAACAGAAACTGAGTGCTAAAATAGCTTGTTATCATCTGAACAGGCCCAAAAGTGAGAGGTG